GGTGAGTGGGGTCCTTCATGATGCAGGTGGCCCTCTTCCTGCATCTGGAGGTGTAGATGTCTGTGATGGTGGGGAGGCTGATTCCAACAGATTTCTGTGCAGCCTTCACCACTCTCTGCAAAGCTTTTCTTTCTGCAGCTGTGCAGCCTCCATGCCACACGTTGATGCTGGAGCACAGGATGCTCTCCACTGCACACCTGTAGAAGGAGGTGAGGACTGAGCTTCCCAGACCAGCTCGTCTCAGCCGTCTGAGGAAGTAGAGTCTCTGATGAGCTTTCTTGATCAGGCTGGTGGTGTTGTTGCTCCAGCTGAGGTTGTCATTCATGTGTACACCCAAGTACTTGTAGCTGGAGACCACTTCCACCGCAGATCCTCTTATGTTCAGGGGGGTGTAGATGTTTTTGTTCCTTCTGAAGTCCACAATCATCTCCTTTGTCTTCTTCACATTGATGTGAAGGTTATTCTCTCTGCACCAGCTCTCCAGGTGTTCCACCTCTTGCCTGTAGCTGGACTCATCATTGTTTGTGATGCATCCCACCACCGCTGTATCATCTGCAAACTTTACAATGTGACAGCCTGGATGGGTAGCTGCACAATCATACGTGAGCAGAGTAAACAGGAGGGGGCTCAACACACATCCCTGAGGAGAGCCAGTGCTGAGGGTTATGGTGGAGGAGGAGAGGTTGTGGATCCTCACTAACTGTGGTCTGTTTGTTAAAAAGTCTAGTACCCAGTTGCAGATGGAGGGGCTTAGTCCTAGTGTGGATAGTTTGTCCATCAGGGTTTGGGGGATCATGGTGTTGAAGGCGGATGTGAAGTCCACAAAGAGCATACGGACGTAAGAGTTTTTCTGCTCCAGGTGGTTGAGTGCAGTGTGGACCACAGAGGAGATTGCATCCTCTGTTGATCGGTTCTCACGGTATGCGTACTGATGAGGGTCCTCGTTGATGTTGATGGTTGTTTTGATGTGAGTCATGACCAGTTTTTCGAAGCATTTAGCGACTATCGGGGTGAGGGCCACTGGCCGATAGTCATTCAGACCAGTCACTGTAGAGCTTTTTGGGACTGGGATGATGGTGGCAGTCTTCAGGCAGGTGGGAACTGTCTCCAGGGTAAGTGAGGTGTTAAAGATGTCTGCCAGCACCTCACAGAGCTGATCAGCACATTCCTTCAACACTTTTCCGGGGATGTTGTCTGGGCCAGTTGCTTTGTGCGGATTAATCCTCCTGAAGGTACTCCTTACTTCTGCTGAGGTCACGCTGAGATGCTCTTCATCCGGTGGTGAGGTGAGTCTGGTGCTGGGTGGTCTGTTCGGGTCTTCAAAGCGTGCATAGAACTTGTTGAGGGCATCAGGCAGAGATGGGTCTTTGGGGCATTGTTCACTCCTTCCTTTATAATCTGTTATGCACTTAATGCCCCTCCACATGCTCCGAGGGTCTTGTGAGATGAATTGACCCTCGATCCTCT